AACCCTCTAAAACGTAAGATCAATAATTGTTATCAGCTAAAAATACTCGCCCTTTTATTGGTAAACGGATATCTCGCCTTCGCCATAGGTGACGTAAGTCGGCAAAAGCCAAGCGAATGTCTAAAATCAGTTCTTCCGACTTAATTCATGTTTGACTTTTTATAATAATAGTATTATTATAAAATAATAATACTATTATTATTTTATAAACATCACCCAAATGGGATTTGTTCAAGCAGAATATACAAAATCAAATGGAGAATTTATTTTCACGGTTCATTCCTTCGTAATTCGTTATGGAGCCAGAACAGAATGTGCCAATGTTTGTGAAATAATCTGATACAAAAAATGATGGAGCTTTATAGAATATCAACGTGGCGTGCTACTATGGGTCAATGGCATAATATGTCTTTCAGCGGATTTGCCAAAATATGATGTTGATCTAACAAATGTTAACATCTATGAATGCCCATGTTTTTCTGTACAAAAATGAACCTTTGGAGTAAAGTATTTTTCGCTTATTTTGCGCCTTTTGTGTCGAGTTCAGGTCGCTGCGTAGTTCCAGCTTGCGGGTTACCAGAATAGCTTAGGAGCCGAATAAAGCGTTCTAATTAACAACACTTATCATAATGGAGCTAATCAATTCTCATTACTTAAGGAGAGGCAGTTAGCTGTGATAGCAAAGACGTTAGACAAATATATGTGATGGGTAGAAGTAATTGTTGAGTGTTTTGCAACTTACATTTTCACCCTCGATTGCGTTTTCGTTAACCAACAAGTGATTAATACATAGTCATCTGTTTAGTCAACGAGTTAGTGTTTCTATCCTCTATTTCGCTGTGATTGAGGATCGGTTTCCTGATACTTTTCCCCACATACTTAAATTATTCAACGTGACACAAACGAAAGTTAAAAGGATAAATTTTATACCACAACTCGATGTCAGTAGGACAGATAATAATGTGGTGTTGGATAGCGTTTTATCAACTGATATTTCTCTCGCCTCAACAGTACACAAATTGATTTCGAAAACTTTTCACTCAAATTGAATAGTTAAAACCAACCAGCTCTCCAGTGTCGTCGTCCTGGTGATGCTAGCTTGACCTCATGGATGTATATATGAGATATATAATGGTCCACTGATTATCAGGTAGTGTTGATTAAGAGGATCAAGGTGATTATTAGGAAATGATAATTTGCGGTACAGTGAAATTTGAGAACAGAAACGAACATTAGGTACAATAAATATGGGACGGCTGCTTGATGGTTCAGCTTTTAGCCACTCAATCTACTTCAGTTCGGGTAGCCGAGTTCACATCAATAATCCTCACACTTAAAGCTTCGGTCACATCCAAGTATTCAGTGAATGAATGAATTAATTAAAAAATATAAAAACAATAAGTATCACTGGTGTTCCTTTCGTTTCAGGTCATTGAGGCTATGTATTTTCTTCGGGATATTTGACGGTTGGTCACTAGCTAGGATTTCATGAAATGAAATAGAATATTTAGCCATTGTACATATGTTTAATTTATTTAAAGTGAAAAATTAGATTTAAATACTCATTCTTATTTCAACTCGCGTAACTCATTACTCAAATGATTATAATTAGACTTAATTTCAGTTTTTTGCATCATCAACGATCAAATGACAATATTGATCAGTCTATGCATATTATGCACAAACCATACAATTGTCAAACTAAGCAACTATTTAAAATAATTAAGGAATACTTATTGAACATATATATTTGATTGTGTATATCAACTAATTTTTTTTAAAATTTAATAAAATTACTTCATCCTTGACCTAAATCATTAACTCACATGATGTTTAATAGATAAATCAGGCTATATATCGGTGTGAGATTTGAAAATATATGCAACCGTTTTAAACGATTGTTTCCATAAAGACATCTGTAAACACGGTACAGATAATATCCTGAAAGGTTTAAAGATTCGCTACATAGACCAAAAACTAATAGAAATCTAGTAATTGCCAAACCTAATAAAGTGTCAGGAATAGTTTTAATGAACAAAACAGTATATGTAGAAAATAATGAATATAATACTTGGTGATCAAGGCAAAGTTCAGGAACTGTCTCCTGAGTACGATCCGAAAGAAGAGTAAACGACAGTTGTCTCAATCATTAAATAGTCTGAAACAAATCGATGCAATACCCCAGGACTTATATACAACACTCAGACCCATTGTTACATGTGGTATTTGTACGAACTAATGATTCTTTTGTACTTGATTACAATCCGTTCGTTTGTGCTCATCTTGTTCTACTTGCTGTAAATTGCACTATTTCGGGCATAAGCTTATTTCACTTCCCTACGCAAATCTCGAAGAACTACAACCAAATCATGTGAAATGTACTTATTTCGAATGCTGCAAAAGAACAGTATTTCATAAAATGATTCGTCAGAATAACCAGAAGGTTAGAGAATTTATCTTTGAATTGCAGAGACAAGGCGCCAAGTGGAATTTTGGTGATCAAATTCATGTGAAGCTGCATGATCGATTGACTGCAGGGATCAACATAATTAGTCTGGAAAGAGATCATGCAAATGCCGAAGTTATATTTTCACGATGTTAGAACTGTGTGTATTAATTATGAGACAGTGCATCAAGGATTCCACTACATCACTTAGTTACCCCAATCCAATGAGTACTCAAGGTCATTCAGATAACAATTCATTGAGGAATTTCAAAGCAGGTCACAAAAAATGAGCACAAATTTGGTAAATGTTTGTGCTGTGGCAAATTCCACTTACGTAATTTATGTATTTCACCATGCCAAATGCTTTAAACGTAGAAAAATTGGACACATCCAATCATTTCCAAAAATAACTAATGTGCATTTCGCCGCAAGTAAACTTCATCATTCATATCCTACTAATTCGGTTGATTTTAATGATCATATATAATCCTTATTTACAACTTCCAGTAATTCGCTTCATATTCAGAAAAGATTATGTCTCTCCAGTGGTGCTTTTCACGATTTTATTGTTGACACTAGCAGTATCAAGTTCATCACTTCAGTTGGGAAGTTGAAGTCATTAAGTCCCGATGTTATAATTAAGCTTACAAAAGTTTCCATTTCGAATATTAATGGTCATGAACTTTTTATTCTTGGATGTCGTAATTTTTTAATCAGGGATGATCACTGAGCGTTGATCGTTTCTACTAGGTTTAGAGAATTTAAGAATACTTCAGGGTCAGATTTCCTTACCGACCATTAGAAATGGTTCCAATGGTATGCTTGATAACTTGCTAACTATGGAATTGAAGAGCGGAAAATTACATACGATTCCAAGGTCCCCTCATTCTCATGTGCAGGCGAGAAATCTCAAAAACAAACGTCAATAATACTACTGCTTCAAAGTTAAAAGACCCGGAGAGGAGAGCAGATAAAATTCCTCAGTGCAGAATTACTAAACCGTACGCAAAAGAAATAGTGGAATTGCTCAAACAAAAAAATCTACGTAAAAGAACTCCTTCTCTACAATCTATGGAAGGCGTCTTAAAACAGGTCAATAAATCTCCGGGTTACATGCAAGCCAATCACAACAACCACATGGTTTTCAGTACTCTATTGGGATACAAATACCTTTCTTTACTATATGGTGAATAATAGCGAGCACTTCCAAAATTATAGCAAAGTCTTCCAGTTATCTAACATTTAGGCCTGTATACTAAGACGTCATCAGTGGTACCTATTCATTAGGTTAAAGTGAATTCAAATAACCTTAGTAACTAAAGGTCTTTAAATGATGAAGAAAATGACAAAATCAAACGTATCATTGTAGATTTTTGTGCTAATGAAAATATATTAGCGTCTAACTAGAACATTTTCACCCATACAGTACTGATTTAAAATAAATTATTATACAGGTATGGATTTCAATGAAGTTTAGTAAGTAGCCGAATTCAAGTTGAAAGTAGATGACGCCGAAACTGTTGGAATAACCACAAATTAAAAGCTATTTATGATTATTTTCTTCCATGGTTTAGGGTTTCATTAATGACAACGCTATGTTTGACTGGAAAGGAAGATGTGACCAGTTCCTGAATATACTATTGTAAAGTGTGAGTAGTTGGACATTATGTATATCAGTCAGTATCCACTTTTATCAGTTACACCCGAGAGATTCAAGTAATAAGAAATGAAATTAGGTCGAGAGGGTTCGAACCTAAAAGTTAGAGACTGTCTTAGCGAATCTCCACATATGGAACTTGTAGGTGAGATCATATCCTGTGTGAGACGAAATAGACTGAGACGGAAAGAATCTACAAACAATCCATCATTTACGAAGGCAATGCATCATCCAAACATACATGATTGCACTCGGACAATCACACCAAGAACTCCTTGTACATTTTAAGATCAATCAACAGACGGGATCAATGCAATAATGAATCGGATGGTATGCTGAGATGTGTAAAAATTAATACTCCTTGTTTAGGATTAGTAAATAACCAGAGATAAGTGGACGGTAATAGTGAGTGTTTTAACCTGGAAGAAATCGAGGCAACATTTAGTTTTCTTTAAAATCCTAGTTCGATTATTTTAACTTTTTCATCCTGTGAACAGTAATGGTCATAAGAAAACTTTTGTTCGGAAAATGGGAGGGAAAACTTGCTTATTATATACAAAGCATTAAGTTGTAACCAAGTAAAATGCTATATTTTAGCCGAGGCAGTTCAATAAGATTTTATTCTACCTTTACAGCTGTTGCATTTTTTCATCGTTATTATAAAATTCGAACTCCATTATCCCATTACGTAGACGTTTGAGGTGGAATTAAGTAATTTTCCAATGTTTATTTAAACTGCATTTATCGAATATGATTTAAGAGCAACAGCAGTCGAATGCTGAAAACCGTTACATATAATCGATTGCGAGAGGTCAATTTGTCAAAATTTTGTTTGTGCATTCTTAAAAACTATTTGATTCTACGAGTTTACGATAGTCTCCATTCAAAAATAGAAAATTAACAGTGTAGGATATATTTTTAGTAAACTTGGACATAATGAGTAAATGATCATGTTTAAGAAATTTATACAATGATGATAGCTGGGATTTTATTGAGCAGCTTTATATTTGAAGGTATCAGTGTTACTTCGAAAGACTCCGAAATCCGAAGGCAGTCGTCACCGTGTGACTGTTGGTGCGGTGTCACTGATTCTTGTGGACAACAGTTAAAATCCCATACGCTTCACACAAAATACTTGATCTATCGGTATGAAATTACACAATATATGTATAAGGATCACCTACTTTGACTCAAACTCAATTACTAACACTGGCGGTTCAGAGCTTTCTTCAATACCTGCTGCATGTTTGTATATGCTACTGAGAACTCCTGTAGTTTGATCATTTACAGTCCCGTGAGAGGCAATACAAAGGCCATCTGAATCAATACATTGGACTGCTGTTACTTTTGGGTTGGATGACCTGTGAGGAAACATATAAAGATGACCAATATACATATAAACATCAAGAGGTTCTTCAGTCTAAAATGAATTTAACTAGGTTATACTTAATTAAATAAGGTAGTAAGGTTAACAAGTAGGGATCAAGAAATGCCATCCTATTTGACATTCATCGGGCAACTAGAAGCATGGAAAAATATTCGAAAAAATAAATTAAAAAGTTGATTTCATGATTAAACGTGTTTTCTGTGAGGTGTAGTGTATAGTTTAAATCAGCACTACTGAGCTCAAGTTTTTCATCAGGACTAATAATTGTCTTCTTTGGAGGTGACGATAGTGCAGTTTTAGAGAACTCGCAGCATTTTTACTGGGTTAACATGTTTGTAGATGAAACAGAAGCCTTCACTTAACGAGCTTTCGGATCCAGTAGCAATGGATCGCTGGTCTTGAGGTATGAAAAGTGAAAAGGTAGACAGAGGAAGGCTAAAACACTCGTACTTAAATGTCTCGTAGTTCGAAGTTATATAAAGCAGTAACGTGGAAAGATGAAAAAGGATTATGCTGTTAGAGGTTTGTAAATGGAGATAAACAGGATTTCAAAAGGACAGTGATACTTTTCCTTGATGAGTAAATCCTTTAGTATTGATTGTATCTAAAAGTGTAAAAACTTTTTGTATTTATTTAAGTCAAGCTTTTTTCAGTCACAGTGAAATAAAGATCACAGCATTTTGTGCTCAGCATCTATCACCTTTAGAGCCTTAAAAACACTTATCCTATAGATAAGTTTTTCTGTTGTTCTCTCTGTGAGATCACTAAACAATTTTAATTACGTAAGTAAAACATTGTGGTAGACCCACATACTTTTTCTCGGTCAAGGATGGAATACAGTGTGACAACTTTATTTATTTACTTATTTGAACACATAAACACTGGTACAAGGAGGCACCGAATACATATACGCCACACAATAATAATGAGGCCAATAGCAGTTATCATTGGTTTGTGTGAGGACCGTAATACTGCCTGGGCGCCCAGACTGAAGTAGGTAGTTTTATTAGGTCACACCTTGAGTATTTGACCTGAAGGTCTAATCCACAAAGCAGTGAGCAACTTTAGGAGATGTGGTCCTATGGCAGTCAGTGACCAACAATTGGTTCATACACGTTTTTTCCCCTCAGGATTCTGGAGTCCATGTGCACTATTGCTTTAGAACCAGGGTTTTTCAACTCCCCTAGGTGGAGTCTCCGTGTCTACCAACCCGGTTAAAGCGCCGAACATTCGCTTTTCGTACTCTCAATTTCGTAAACAGCACCCCCGCCACGAGAAGGCAGTGGATAGGACTTCCTTGACAGTGGCTTTATGCACGTGGCCATATGAGAGCATGTCGAGAGGGAGAACTGACTTTCCCTACCCTCGGCCATGCTAGGGCATTTGGGGGCAATGTGGCAACCGAAACAAATGGTATCAACGTGTGCGCCGGACTCACACCGATTGTAAATAAAAGGTGTTGCAAGTCACCATCACGTTGGTTGTGCAGAGCACGCTGCTCTACATGGTCTCTGCTAATTCATGAGGCGATCGAGCTGCTAAACATAGCTAGAAGGATGCCCTCAGATAAAGTTTTCAAGGAAGCAGTGAGCGTTATCATGGGTCTAGCTATGGATTTAAATGAAACCTTCAAGGTGGACTCTAATAACGCAGCGGATAACAAAAACACACAGATGTAGGAATGGTTACAAGAAAAAAATAATGCTGCTAAGAAACAAATTATAGAGAGCTCTAAGATATGTGAGTCGACGGTTTCAGCTCCAGATTCATATATCAAAGCAAAACAGACTATAGAGGAACAGAGACTGAGTGGTGTAGGTGATGTGATCAACAGACATAATTAGGCGAATGAGTGGCTTAGTTACACCCAGAAAAGGAAACGGAAGGAAACAGAGTTAGACCTTCGCATCTGACGCCAGACCGGACTGCAGAAGTGGGAAAATTTCAGGAAATAAAACTCCACAACTTGTTAATACGTACCTCACTGACAGGTCAGTCATTTTCATAAGTTAAGGATCTTCCTAAAAGCAACCAAAGACTAGATTTGAACATGAACTCAGCCACATTAAGTCCTTAGTAAGAAAACTACTTCCAGAAACAGTAGCATGAGTTAATATCCATGAGCTATACAGAATAAGACGAAAAATGGATTCTGAAAGTACCCAGAAAAGCCGCCTCTTAAAACTTACTTTTGCTTCTGCTGAAGAATGAAACCCAATACTGGAAAATTCACGCAAGCTGACTGGACCCGGAATAAGTGTCCGTGAGGATTTCAGCCTGGTTGATCAAATTAAGAGACGATCGGCAAAAGTTGAAATGAACGCCACCGGAACGGTGAAAAAACCTTATGCATAAGGGTTCTCAAATTGCAAAAGTTCGAAGCAAAAAGATCCGAAAACTACTATGGATGGTAACGTAAAGTTTTTCACAGAATTAAAGGTGTGCTATACAAATGCTCGCAGCCTACATAATGAAATGGCGGAGCCCAAAACAGTGATCGATACACAAACCATGATGTCATTGCCATCTCAGAAACATGATTAATGTCAGGAGCGTATGATAGTAGGACTGATAGACTAAACTGTAGGGATGGTGGGGTTATTCCGTACACAAAAAGTACCTTAACCATTTGAGCTATCGAGGCAGTGGCATACGACTCAGGTACATGTAAACTGGTGCGCTGTAGGCTAAAATGTAAACGGCATGATGTTGAATTAGTTGCAGTATACCGCAGACTTCCTCCTAAACAAACTTAAATTGTTAGAAACCGCAATAGTCTTAGCTATATTCTAGAGCATTAGAGATCCCACGAGATATGACCTACAAAACTCTTCATCACTCTTGAACTTATTCTTCACATACGATGATCAGTCAAATAACTTTTCTCCTACCTTTAGGGAAAAGTGATCTTGCGGTCATCTTACTCAAGTTCATTACTGAGATGGTCTGCCAAGCAGTTTCACCAGCCCGTCCTAACATATGAAAGGCAGACATGAAGATGATCAACTCTTCAGCCTCGGCTGAAAACTGGATAGTTGACTCAGGAGCAACAGTATAACAAACATGGACTCATTTCCGGTAGTTATACAATCAAGTTACCCAACCATTTATACACTGGATAGTCCCAAAGAAGAAGTATGGCTATCCCTGGATATGCCGGGATATTCGACGTTTACTAAGACAAAAGAAGAAATGTTGGAACATCTCCACCAGTCTTGGCACAGCAATTACGATGGAGCACTACAGGTCGGTACAAAATAAGTGTAAAATTACAATCCGGAGAGCTCGGTAAAAATATGAAAAACAGTTCGCCTAACCTGTAACCAAGCAGCCTAAGAGACTATTCTCGTACATAAAATTCTACGGAATAAGGACGCAGCATAGGGTTCCTGACCTAATTAAGGAAGGACGTGGACCTCGACAGAGTGAGTATGATCGGAAAAAGATAGAGGCTATAGTAAACTATTTCGGGACAGTCTTCTCTCAGGAGCCTCTTCTAAACGAAAAACTAGACTAAAATATAAGGTCAAAAAATTGTCTGCTTACTGCAGACTTCCATCGAAACGGCCCTCAGCATTTTCGACACGGAAAGGTCAACAAGACCGGACGAACTACACCGTAAGATCTTGAGACATCGCGCAATGTATTGCTGCCTCACTGACTACGATATCGAATATATCACTAGGTCAATGTGAGTTACATACGAACTGGAAGGATGTAATTGTCAATCCAATACATAAGACAAGATCAAGCCAACTATTTAAATGACTTGCTAAATGTTTTATGAACACCCACACTTATATTGAAGAGGGGGAAATCTGGAGCCTCAGTAAAATTACTGAGAAATATTTTTTCAAAGCATTAGAAATTATGTAAGCTATCATAAACTGAAGAGAGTTCTGTTACTTTGACCAGTAAAATGTCATGGGAAAAAACCCAGTGTTACAAGTTTCTGTGGAAATATTGGAGAAAACCCGAAATTTCCCCAGGTCTGGGGAAAAATCCCAAAGTTTTGGGGAGATCCTGGGGGTTTTGTACTACCTCCCCCCCAAAAAAATTTCCAAATTTTCTACAGCGTACCCCCAAATTTACCCAAATTGGTAAAAGGTTTCCCCAAAATAAGGAGATTGGGTAAAGGGTATACCTAGAGATGTGCATGACTGAATTATAAGGTGAGTATACAGAAGTTAATTTCACTTTATATTTAATGAGTGATCATGTATACACGATGCTGAACTCATCCAAGAATTTATTGTTGTTTCAGCTAGTAAAACTTACATATTGCAACTTCTGAGACATGAAAAGTACGTCTTACCTAAATTATATAAACGACGAAAAGACAAGGACTCACACTCTTGACAAGTTACCTAAAAGTTTCGTCTCCATTTGAAAACTTTACGTATACCATGAACGTTCCAATAAACAATGTTCGAAAAACGCATTAATGTTAAAGTGCGATTTCAGGCCTTTATCACTGCCTAAAGAGGATAGTCTAGCTAATTCTTGTGAGTCCAATTTATTTGACAACGCGAGATGCTCGTACGTAACTAACTGTATGCTTTCCCGAGCTTCCAATTTTGAGAAAATTTGACCCATTTTGGGGAAGCCGCTATACTGAAGTTTTGGGAAACTTTGAGGAAATGGCAAAAAACCCAAAAATTTCTTTTAACATGAGGAAATTCCCCAATATTTCCTCACAATTCCCCTTTAACCTTGGTGAAGGTCATTTGTCTTCGGAAGTTTCCCCAAAATATCACAAAATTTCCCCAAAGTTCCCCATAATTGGAAGCTCGGGTTTTTTTAGCAAAATTAAAACTCGCAGTTTAGTTCGACCGAAATGTCCCACAATGATTGGGGACGAGTAATACACTAAGTCAAGATCTATATATTTTTTAAAATCTCACTGATTGAGTCCATAATAAGTGGAATGGAAAGTGATAGTGAACATATCATGCTGTATTAAAACTCTTGAGTATTGCAAACACGAAGGTCGTTAAAAACTTTAATTTGTGTATGACACGTGAGTTTCAGGAACAAATGATCTACTTGATGTGTTAGTTGAGACTGGATAATTTTTCTGAAATTTGGCTTTAAATTCACGAGATGGTTTTTGATATGTATAGTAACTTTACTGGGGCTAGTCTAGCCACTTTGTTGATATGGTCCACCTAAAGCTAACATATATTTAAGATCTGATACTTTTCAGAGTTTGTTGAATAGATTTGTCACGAAATTATGGGACTGGTGGAATATATTGCCATCATGTTATTGGTCCGTACTGGCGAAGAAAAACCCCAAGACCCATAGCTCTGGATTCACCTAGCTGAAGGTGCTCAATCACAAATCCGTATCAGACCATGAGTGAGCACGCCGTGCTATGCGTCCCTTTCAACTATTGGTCAGCCTAGATCAAACGTTCGTCGACATACCGACAGCATTCCAAATAGATCTCCAAGCTCCTTCATTTTTTGCTTCTGAACTACCTGGGTAGGCATATTTCGAATATAAATGTGTTGCCAAACTCCGAATATCTGTGATATCTTTAGTGATGAGACCGACGTGACTTGGTACTCCAATTCGTAAGCTGAGTCTGTTGATTGTTGGAACATCATATATTACTTCTTGATTGTTGCTTTTTTACATATTGTGATATTGTTTTCATATTTTTGGAGGTATATTTTCTCGTTCATTGTTATACTTTATATGGATTATCCCTGAACAAACCCCTGAGCTGTTTAAGACAAACGCTCTTTCGCCACTCTCACTTCAGCTAATGCCATTCTGGCCAGACAACACCGAATCTTGGCCCTGCTAAGCTAACTTTTACGAGCGCGGTGTGATAGACCACACTACACAATTTTAAGCAGTGGTGAAGTCACTGTAAAGCCATTTTGACAGGTGCGTCACACCTAGTATGCGAAATAGTGATGTGTCGGGACCTTATAAAACTTTAAGAATGACTATTCGTAAGCGTGGAGATCTAACCGACCGACAAATGGTAGACTAACTTTCCAACAACACCCATCAACAACATGGCCAAGTGACAGAAATGTTGCTACGAACGCGAGAGGTCATTGTTTAACGAACTTTTGACGAGGACTTGTTTAGTCAGCCATTATTTGTCAAAGCTAATCCAACAGATGTAGGTAGTTCTTGTCTCGTCTCAAAATGAGGCTATATACGAGCTGGATACACTAGTCGGCCGGATTACGGGAATCATTAGAGGTTTCAACGTCGAGATCAATTCAGTTAAAGAGAAGCTCTAAGCAACACAAAATGATGTCATGGACCTCTTTCATACTCTGATACGTTAGCAACATACTTGTTATGACCATTTATACTCTCAAACTTCTCAAAAGAGTAATTCACGGAAACGATCTGTCTCTAGATTACGAGGAATAGATAGATTGGTGTTAGCATCATAAAAACCATGAAACTTTTTAGAAAACCCTTCAACTTGTGTGTTTGAACAGATAATCCCTAGCCCCACCGTGACTGCGCGACCATCTAAATAGAGACCTAATCACTGTTAGTCTGGTTTCTTCTATCAATAGAACGAGGGTTGCTTATAGGTACGAAACTAGTGAGCTGAACTGGACACAAATTTCATTTCATTTTCATTACTAATATTTTTTACTTAGTTGTAAAGTAGGCCTTCGGATTATACTTAACTAAAGTTTGGTATATATATTACACGTAGTTTTTTATCTTAAGGTATTTGTGTTGTGGCAATTGTGTTTGGTTTCTATCATTTTACTACACTGGTCATATACCTCATGACAGACTGAATAGAAACCCAAAACATGGAAGACTTGTCACCAATGGAGATAGACACTGTTATAACTACGGAAGCCCGACTTCCAGAATTTGATCGTAGCGAATGTGAGCTATGGTTCGCTCAACTAGAGCATTATTTCATAAGACACTATATCAAATATGAAGGAATCCACTACGGGGACTTATATTCTTTACTCTCTCCTTTATTCGCCTAAGAAATCAGTGATTTGGTTTTAAGCCCACCATCACCGCAACCATACAACATCTTAATGCGAGAGATGATGAACCATTTATCATCATCAGACGGACAAAGAATCCAAAGGTTTTTGCAAGGAGAAACATTAAGTGATAGGTCGCCGTCACAGTACTTATGTCAACTCCAATTTTCGGTGAATGGCAGCACAGTGAGTGTAGCAGTCCTAAAACAAAGATGAATACAAGTTCTTCCATGCTACGTTCAACCTTTTTTGATACAAAAGATCCTGAGACCCGTTCATCTCACATAGCGCGTATAGAGCCAACTGGAACACGCACGATAAATCACACACAAAGAGCAAAACTATCGAAAACTAAAGCCATAGAAGGACTCATTGCGAGTGTTAAGTCCCACTGAGGCTGTCTCCAGAATGCAAAGGGGTCACAGGAACAGGAGCAGGTCACCACACCGACTAACATTCAAGTCCAAAAATAGGTCACAGATGTTCAAATAACCTGGGTAGTTCTGTTAGTACTACTGGAAGTTTGATGTCAACTCAACCAAGTGCATGAAACCATGCGCCCGTCCTAATCGAAATATCAAGAATATAGGAAACAAATTACGTTTCCCTAGGTTGCGATGACTGAGAAGGAGTGCCTAAACAGTCACTTGTTTTATGTAAGAGATATAAACTCAGGCTTGAACGTCTTGGTTGATACTGTCGCTGCTCCTAGTATCATCCCTCAGAACAAAACAGAACTGGGTCGAGAAACATCAACAGTTACATTTTAAGCCGCCAAGAAAACTAAAATCGCGACATTTGAACAGAAAACTTTAATACTAGACTTGAGGTTCAGGAAGCGATTTCCCTGAGTTTTCACTGTAGCCGATTTTGATCTGGCAGTATCGGGGATGGAATTTTTAAACAGATATGAATTTTTAGTTGACGCTAAAAGACAACGCCTAGGACTGAACGAACCTTCAAATTGCACAAAAGGTAAAGAAGTTCACATCACACCTCTAAACTTGATTCAAACTCCCCCAGTAACAGCAGCGAAGTTTCAGGATATACTCGCGGAATTTACAGACTTAATTAAAACGGACTAACAGCCTTCCAAATACAAACTTAAATTAAGTCGTACTGTAGTGATGAAGAACACAATTGGGGTCATCGTATGTAGTTGAACACAAAATTTAAGAACGTCTTACTAAAATCTGAGAATCATACAGTAAATACTTAATCTGCAAAACTTTAATCGATTATTTAAAACTTGAGGATTCTTTTGCAAATATCAGTCTATTATCTCAGATTTCATCTTCCGTGCATTTCATACTAATTGCTTTCCGTTTCCGTCCTTTCCTTCTCGATCTTCTGCTGAAATACATTCTATTCCCGACCAGCTACTCTAAACCTGTGAGTGTAACCAGTGGGGTTATACATAGGAGTGTGATTAGTCCAGTACTCTTTCTCCTTTTTATCAATGAGGTGCGTTCTCTCTTTCAGTATGGTCAACCTTTCTTGTTCGCCGATAATCTAAAAGTGGTTTATTCATAGGTTGTAGACGCGAGCTTTTGAAGGTCGTAACTTTTGTTACGTGGTATTATTTTATTTTTCTATCAGGTTTTACCTTTAATTTAACACTTATTAGCGACAAATAATTCGTCACTATCAACTTGACACCTCACTTCGGAACTCAACGTCATACATTAATTTTGCTACTATTCACGCTGTCCATAGAGATACCTCTATCACTAATTAACGTTAATATATATGCTCTTAATTAATACTGGATCTGATCCTACCATAGAATTTTACACTTCTATTAAGTTAAATTATAACTGTCGCTGTTCACCTAATTAAACATTATATTTACATTACTTCCAGTAATGTCCAGGTCATGTAAAAAACATATAATCTCTCCTGATGCCTATAGCACTTGTAAAAGATCTAAGTCAGTCATTAATGCGAATAATGTGAAACCTTATAAACACACTGAACAGTCTGAATCCTACTCTGACTTTTTTTTAGCTACACTAAACGTGTACCGTTTACTTGGGCATGGCATATCACTACCTTGTATCTCGCTTGTAGTTATAAATAAGAGCAGTCACATACCGTTGGAGTCGGCATCATTTTTCAGTCCAAACAAAAGCATCACATGTTGTGAGCAGTATTTAGACAGTGCAGCTGACCCCAAACACCCAACAATTTTACAATCAGCCATATTGAGTAGCGGCCCACAGAGTACATGTAAACCTGCCTACAATAGCCAGCTCGACGATGTAGATCTTGACTGCTCACCCAGACATATACTCCATCCCCCAACTAAGAATGCACAAACTGACCACCCGGTAGACAATTGCAACAGGTCTGTATGTAACCATATCGACCTTAAAAACTTTGATATTAATTCCAATAATCTCACCACTGGTAGATCTAAAAGTAGCCAAACAGAACTTAGCCTCATCCAAACTATCCAAGACTTATTACCGTACAAATGTTTAATCAATGTTCCAGAAAATCACGATCTCGAAATTAAAAAAAACACTAAAAAAGTAATTGACCACATATCATCTGAAGTGTTGAAAAGACATGAGTGTATGAAGAATGTCATTGTGTATAATATTACTGATAGTTAGAGCGTAAAGTTTGCTAAAAATACTCTACTGCAAGAATGTGGATTGTCGCAATCTTAGTGTGAAAAAAGAAGGTTGCGTAAAGCACACACTGAATCTCCTGTCCCATTCTATTTCAGTTTGGTAATTAATACCACTGAGGCTAATCACATCCTCAATAGTCAGTCATTACTGAAGCGTATTCCAACATTTTTAAAAGATTAGAATCATCCATGACAGGATTGCTACCTAGCGTCGAATCTTCTATGGGACACAAACTAATCAACCCAGCCTACGTAGCCACGGCAGTTACAGCGTTTCTCACTGCACCAATCCTAAAACACCATACACTACCCCTCTCAAAAACAGAGGCACGTCGGATGCTGCTATTAGTCCTGAGAACAAGACCACACACAAAGCAGCTGCAACCACTCACCCTCAGCCCGAACACTCAGTCACCCCAAAATGCCAATCCACTTATTACTCGATAGTGCCCCAAAATTGCCCTAGCGGCCCCAATAAAAAAACCTAAAGATGATCCTCCCAGAAATTTCGCTAACAGCTGCAGACGCTCAGACACCGCTGTGCGAAATAATACTAAGCTCTCTGTAAAAACCCATCAGTGCTCAAGCACCCCTAACCCAAAACATGCACCTCTTAACATCAGTAGAATGCCCTACAAAAAACATAGTGAACTTGCAGTACCCACTCATCCTAACGTGAAATGACACTCGACAAGAACCATACTTAAACATGATACCCGTAAGTCATACAGTGTGAAACTTGCAAGCTCCATGAACCAGCACACAATTACAAACAACAGAAACACCTCTCTTGGCAACAATATCAGGCAATCCTTCATTCCTTACCAGAAACATACAACCTCCCCAATTACCCATAATAGGACTGAAATTGCCCGTCGCACACAGGGAAGCCATAATGTTGGCCTATCTGGGAACCCATCTGCTGATTCTAGATATTATCTAAGTCAAGCCACCCCATAAAACTTTTTAATCCCCACTAATTCGACATATACACCATCTCATCATTTTTTATTTCTACCCCCTCAACAATGCTGCTATGGGGTCTCCAAATGTTGAGGGCGACAATCCCACTATTCTGAGACCATCTATATACTCCGACCTGATGAGGAGTGGTACATCTTTCTCAACGTCGATAAAGGTCTTTAATCTTAATAGCTCCTTGACTGAACCACTCCCCGAACACACTACCTAACTATTCAGCTCTACCTTTCTTAAATATACTTCTTTCACCAAACTAACCTCCAACTACCTTTCTCGCATTAACCCTAGTGGTAATAAACTGAACGCTCATCAATATGAAGTCAACACCCCCAGTTCTTCCTTTTCTCATGGCAAAACATACGATCCACTGGGTTTACATCACATTCTTCTATTAGACAAACACTCGCCGTGCCTAACACTTATGCTAATCAGTGCTCGGTCTGTACAAAATAGAATGACTCACCTACTCACTCTATTACTTTCAAAACAACCCCTCACTTGTTTTGATAACGGAAAGTTGGCTGTCTTCCGATACCACAGACACATATCTACAAATAGACACCTATGAGCTCTTCCGCTGTGACCAAATCACCAAGAAGGGTGGTAGTTGTCTTGTTTATGTATCAAAAATTTGAGGGCGGAAATATATAGAGACCACGTCCTCAGCAAATTTCCTGAATCGATATGGCTTACTGTGCGTACATGAATGTAAAACACTAATCGGATTCATATATCGAGCTCCTAACACTCCCAGTTCAACTGACACTATTACAAATGAGTCATTTGCCAAATCTGTCTAGATTGATTTCGCCTACAAAATTGTTTGTGGTGATTTCAATCTTCTAACCACCAACTAAAAGACACATTATGGCCCATTGTGTTATGGAAGCATACTTAGGTCTTTAGACATAAATAGTTGGCAGCTACATGTACACCTGCCGGCACGAAACCGCAACATTCTTGAATTGATATTCTGTCGCAATGTCACACCAACGTCAATTGTGGTTGGCGAAAAGTAGCTAAAAGTGTGAAATTCTGGATTTTTATGGTCAGCAGGACAGCATTAGAAAGGAAACTACGTAATGTACTGATTATCGGACCAATGATTGAATAGTATGTCAATATTCATCTTTTTAACGGTGGAACTAATGGACCTTCAGCTGATATTCTTTGTTGTATAAACGCTATCGTGCCTGAAAAGTGAAATGGAATTTATCAAAGTTATCGCATCATATTATTAACATGATATCTTGTTTAATAGTGTTGACTTTATGTGCGAGTGTGATTTCGTCCCCGGCTATCATGTTTCCTAACTTTATTAAGACATTTACCCCACTTTTTCCTATTTTTTTCCTACTTTTTGCAAATTCACCTCAGTATTCTTCTAAATCCTACAGAACCTGTTTAAGTACGGCGATTATGGTGCAAAAATTACTGAAACATGTGTATAACCAGAGTTCTGAAGAAACTGAAGATGAGTTCTTTGCAACAGTTATGCACCAATAGGCTGTTTTTGAATAACAATAATAATTATAATCGTAGTTTTCAAGTCGTTACAAAATGATGCTCAAATGATCATAAAGTTTCAACTTAGGACTGTTAATCAATAGGCAACAACGTTCAGCTATACTGTAATTGTACTTTGAAATAATTGTTTGTAAATTTTGGGATGTTTGTACAGCACTCTGCAGACGGAAAGGTGTGGGCAAAAACTCGTCCAATTAAAAAAGTATGGTATTGACTGTCATAGACATATCTGTTTCGGTCATTGTGACATAGTGGTACTCCGCGCTAAAACCAGCGTACATTGTGATACACTTGAAGCCAAGTTACAAACCACCTTGAATGAAAAGTAAAAGATCCATTAAAACGGAAAATAGCTGACCAAAAGGTTTTCACATGTTTGTCAACATGGGACCGTGATTTTTTTCATCATCATACTGCCAATAGATAGGTGCTTTTTAAAGCAGGCCTGGAAGTAGATGAGCAATAGATTCGGTTAAATAAAGTAGTGTCATATTAACATGTCATACCTCACGAAATACTAGCAGTTGTTATGCTAAGTGAAGATGTATAGGAATACGTTTGAGAGAATTTAAATCACCTGACAGTTCTTTTGAAAATAATGATGACTATCCAAATAAATACCAGTAAACATTAATATTTACGCGAATGGTCAAATCTAAGTAACTTGAAGAAAGATCTACGCAATCTTTCAGATAAAACCGAACTAAAGCAGTGCAACGACAGAGCTTTGAACCAATTTTTTGAGGATATTACATTATTTACTCTCTTACTTGTTGATGTAAGATGTTTTTACCGGAGGTTTGTTTATATGTATAAACGACACTCATGGAGTGAAGGGTAATATTTAAAGGGTTTAAGCTGTAGTTCGTGACATATTGCGAAACAAAATGGTGTTTTCAGACAAGCAACTTTTTGAAAAGGTGGTCGAGATACTTAAGCCACTTGATCTTTCTGTGGTTGACTATGAGGAGATTTGTGATAGGATGGGAGAGTCAATGCGTCTAGGTTTACAGAAGAGTACAAATGAAAAATCATCTATTAAAATGTTTCCATCTTATGTTACAAGAACACCAAATGGGACAGGTATTTTAACATTAAATGTTTTATATCTTCGTAGAAACTGGAAGTTTCTTAGCTTTAGATCTCGGTGGAACAAACTATCGAGTGCTTTCAGTAACTCTTGAAGGCAAAGGAAAATCTCCAACAATTCAAGAGAGAACGTACTGTATTCCTGCAGAAAAAATGTCGGGTTCTGGAACGGAGGTTAGTTGTAATGTCAAGCTTATTTTTTGTAACTTGACTAATATCTTATTTTTGTCCCTATTTTCACATCGATTAATTTTTTCTATCTTATTTCCTTTTAAATCCATGAGATGAACGAGTTTTAGTTTTGATTTCTTCTTAATAAGTAAACGAGCTAATTCATTTGTGTTAAAAATAGCATAACTTTGGGACTTGCCTTCGGTTTAAAGCTAAACTCATTGGTCCACGAGAGATTACTCTATCCAATTCAACCAAGATTTATTCGACTCTCGGGATAGCTGACTTTACTTGATAGCCTGGTTTGAAGGCAACGGAATAACATGTCTTTGGTATTTCCTCATATAAAGGGTTGTGGATGAATTTCCCAGGCATTATTTCCCACTTCTTTTTAGTGAAATACTAATTCTTTAAATTTTGAAAATATCTGCATTTCATTTATGAATTATGATATAATAACCATGTCAAATACAATGTTTACCATAAAATACGTTATTGAGACTAAGTTAAACGCACTTTGTCTTGAATCTAAACGCCTGAAGTTCTAGTAACTCTCCGACATTTTTGTTTAAGGTGGCTTTTCAGACACATAAACTGTTAAACAATACTGTCTCGCAGGTGATTGCACGCATTTGTATCAAGTTAACAAATTATAATACTGTTCTTAAGCTAGATTATGGATAATTGAGTCTAAGTGTGTTTCCGGTTTCCATTGCTTAATCAAAGCTATTTTCTAGAGGTGGAGGACTTACAGACTGAGAATGTTTGTGAAATTCATAAAAAGCATGAAATGCGTTCAAACCCTATTTTAAAATTGCATTGAGTTTTCACAGTCTTTTAAAATCATCTCATTAGCCAGCTATAATCAACGTAGAGCTTGGAACTAATGCATATTAGATAGAGCTGTCATTGTTGTAGAAACTTATGTAGCCTAAAGTGACTCATTACAATCATATTCCTAAAATATAATTTGCATTCTTTTAGATTCTATTCCAAATATTCTGTGTTGACCTTTTTTGAGTATACAGTAAAAAATAAATTACACAGCTAGCTTGTTTTATATTAATTAGGATCACACAATAAAAAAAGATGTTTATTTCTAGAAACAATATGATAAATTGTTTATTATTATCTTTCTTACGTAGCTCTTTAAATATATTGCTGAGACACTGGCTGACTTTCTGGAAAACAACGGAATGAAGGACAAAAAGTTCGACCTCGGATTCACATTCTCTTTTCCATGTGTCCAGAAAGGCCTCACTCATGCTACTTTGGTGCGATGGACAAAAGGTTTCTCTGCAGATGGGGTAGAAGGTCATAATGTTGCTGAATTGCTGCAAAATGAGCTAGATAAAAGAGTGAGTGCAATCGCCAAATCGTGCTTTTACAGGATTGATTTTATTAAAAAAGCAGTTACTTGCTGTAAGATGCTGCTATTTTATTGAGAAATTGTAGAAGTGAATTGATTTTGATTGCATGAGTACGCTTCAACAATTGAGCCTATGTTAGCTGTGATGCCATATCAATACTGACATAATATATTTGGCATTCAAAGGAACTTATCGTTCCCTTCCAACGACTAACGAACTTAACGCTAAGCTATTCTAGGTTGCTTTGTGACCACAATATTTTCGTCTTAATGAAAAGGCTTTTCACAGTTTATTTATTTGAGTCTGATTATAAGTTTACATCCCAGGTGTTAGCTCATTCATACAAATATGTTTACAGTCCTTTTCATTATAAGACCAGCATATGAATTGGATTAAGAATGAGTGTACAACAGATTTTTGACAATTATAGTTTCTGTGTAGTAAAATTAGGACTGATATAGAATAAATTGCAGAGTCAGTAATTTTCTATCTCAAAAACTGTTTCATTAATGGATGTACGACCAGAAAACTTTGTTTGCAAATAGTTAAGTTAGATGTATTTTGAGCTTTCAAATTTCGGTTTATTTTAATCAGTATTGACATCATAAGACGTAGGACGTCATTTATTCTGGATGAAGTGGTATCACATTTATGTAATTAACTGTTTAAATTTGTATTTGTTGCAGGGATTAAATGTGAAATGTGTTGCAGTTGTAAACGATACAGTTGGTACACTTGCGTCTTGTGCTCTTGAGGACTCAAAATGTGCCGTCGGATTAATAGTTGGTAAGTATTTCATTTCATTACCGAGATAAAATTTTGAAAATGTGTGTACACATAAATATATGTAACGCTTGATGTTTTACCAAGTGCGTTTAGTACCTGACTGACAAAGGTTTTATCCAAGTATTTTTACAAAACTGTTTTCCAACCTTCCTTTTTATAGGGACGGGAACAAACGTTGCTTACATTGAGGACTCTTCGAAAGTCGAGTTGATGAATGACGTGAAAGAACCCGAAGTCGTTATAAACACAGAGTGGGGTGCATTCGGCGAGAAAGGAGAATTGGACTGTTGGAGAACACAGTTTGACAAAACAATGGATATAGACAGTCTTCACCCAGGAAAACAACTGTTAGTCTTATTTTATAGATACTTAAAATTATTTTGGTCAACAATTATTTTGTCATCAGCGCTTGCAAGCATTTAAAACATTGATATTTAGGTCTGGGGATGATTTTATAACTGGTTTTATCCAAGTTTAAAACTATTCCTGTGTAAGAGCATTTTCCTCAAATTATTTCGTACACATTAGTAAATAGAAACAGTGTTTATTACTTACAGGTCCTTGACTCGAGAGTTTCAGTTTTTCCCATTTAACACATATCATGCAGAAGTATGTTCTCCAAACATCTAAAATCGTTTTATAATTTATTCCTGTTCTGTATTCTCTTCAGATATGAAAAAATGGTATCTGGGATGTACCTTGGTGAGTTAGTTCGCCACATCCTTGTGTACCTTGTTGAACAAAAAATTCTCTTTCGTGGAGAACTCCCTGAACGTTTGAAAGTACGCAATTCTCTGCTGACCAGATACTTAACAGATGTTGAAAGGTAAGGTTTATTTGAAACACTGATGCTTTAATCGATTTGGTTTTACATACTAAAATGATGTTTATAACAAAATGTATGTATTTTTGCCACTTTTAATTTAACGCAAAATGATATTTGGTTTCACTTAGCTGATTATTATGATAAGTAAGATTGACATCAGAAATATACAGTGCTTTTATTTTTTAACCGATTCTGGGGATTTTATTAGGACGAAATGGCCCTCTAGTGCTCCCAGGTTTTCAATGGTGGTTTTGCTTAGATTGACTAGTGAATTCAGCTTTCATTTTCCACATGAAGATTTATATATTTTTAAACTTGATGATTATGTATAGATCTTGTGGCTAACTCGGTATACTTTTATAATCTTTTAACTCTATTTTGTGATAACAACACAAAGTTACTCAGCATTACAAACTGTGATTTCCTATTACCAGTTGTCTACTTTCGAGATTTAAATCATTATTCAAAAGTTACTGATTAATTTACGACTGATGTAGAGTAACGAAATCATGTGGCCAATAAAGCGAAACAGAAAGAACTGAAACTTAGCCATGTAAAGTTGGTTTTGCACCAGTGAATTAAACTATTTTGATACTTCCGTTTGTGCAGCTTATATTTCTACCCTTCACTCAGTCAAAAAATTAACACTTTTTAGTACATGAAGTACGTAACAAACTATGATATTAAATTATTTCCTTTGGACCGTTGAACTGTATTTTGAATTCGGAAACAATTATTTCTCAATGTTGACAATTAAAAACGTATTTCTCTTTCCATTTATATCACATTTCACGTGTTGTCTCTACATGAAAATCTTATTTTGCTGAAAATTTTGTTTCAGAGATCCTGCTCACCTTTTATACAATACTCACTATATGCTTACTGATGACTTGCGTGTCCCTGTTGTTGAGCCGATAGATAACCGCATAGTACGATATGCCTGTGAAATGGTTGTTAAACGGGCGGCTTATCTAGCAGGCGCAGGTGAGTCCATCTATTTTCATTGTATGAACTTTTACGCGTAGATTGGCATATTTTTCAATAGAATACTACAAATATTTTAGTACATTGAACATTTAATAACTGGGTTCTCGTTCATCTATTTTCAGGTATTGCTTGCATTCTTCGGAGAATAAACCGCTCAGAAGTAACTATTGGCGTTGATGGCTCTTTATATAAATTCCATCCGAAGTTTTGTGAACGAATGACAGATATGGTTGATAAATTAAAGCCAAAGAATACACGAGTAAATGAAAATTTAATGTTTTTATTATATTTCAAGATACTTCTTATACTTTATTGTTATGTATTTTATATAATGCATTGCTTGAAAAAATTCATAACAATATTGAAATATTCTCTGGGAAAGGATAAATTAACAATTTACTGCTTTAATTTCTTCTATTTTGAAGAGATTATGATCGAATACAAATCTTTTTATATGAATATTATTTCGCTTGAGGAAAAATACTTAGGTCTCATAGTTTCTATCATTTCACTTAGAAGTAATTAACGTACATGTACATAAAGAAATATTTAAAAAAACTGATATGTTTAAAACAATTAAATTAACGTAAACGGAGTATTAATTGTAAAATTTTTAATTTATGTCCATCTAAAATATCATTTGTAATAATCACTGTCTTATATATCTTTCACTATAGTTCTGTCTACGTTTATCTGAAGATGGAAGTGGAAAAGGAGCGGCAGCCATAGCAGCGTCATGTTCACGACAAAACTAAAAAACTGCACACACAAGAAACTATTGTTTATATTCAGTTCTTTCATCTGTTTTGTTGGCTTGATGAAATTCTCCGATAATTCAGAAACTGGCCCGCTTTATTTAGTTTCTTGGCTATGATTATCTTACTATACTTTGAAACATATAATTTTAATGCTGAAGGAAACATCATCATGAAATTGAAGGATCAAATATAAATCGACTTTTTTCTTATTAGATCACATCATACAGTAGTTCAAAAACTTAGTTCTTAACACACGGCATTTTTCTGTAACTTCCTATAACTTCTGTTATCTGGTTTTCTATCATTAAAGTATATATAAATATATATAATTTTTCATGAGAATTTCTAGTCAGTCAATGACATTAAAGTCACAGTATTTTATAGATTATATAATTCTATTTGGCTTTGTTATTTAAAAGTCAATGAAACTATATACCTTAAAAAACGTTTTCTGTACCAGCTATTATATGCAATACATGAAGAATTACTATTTATTGCTATTATTATACAAATATTTTTTTTTGAATTTGCAATTGTAGAGCAAAATAAACGAATTTTTAGTTGTAAAATAAAGCAAATATTCTAATTCTTCGCTATTGTTTTTACTTTTTTATGTTTCATGAAAAAAAAAGAAGAAGAAAACCCTTATATCTTTTAGTTTTCACTAATATTACTATTATTTTTTAATCATTATTCTTAATATTCCGATTATTGTACACGTATATTTAAAAAACAAAACATTTTAGCCAGAATGTAAACAATCAGATTTAGTGTATTTCGTTCCAGGACATTGTGATAAATTTGTTTAACTATTTATTTTCTTGTGTGTGTGTGCGTTTATTTGTGATCGGTTAATTGAACATATCTATGGTAAACAAAAGTGAGGAAAGAATGATCTCCTGTCGTAAATTGCAACATAATTTGAATTTGGAAAAAAAATGATAGATATATAAACATTTGTATTTATGGGCCAAATATATCTCACTATTTTATGCCATTGAGAAGTTTTCAAATTTTCCAATTTTTAATAATAAATAGAATGATTATTTATCAAAGTTTAGATCAGGAAAAATGCAAAATTAGAAGTCGTCGAGTTGTTACTGAATACATGTTGTTATGCGTTTGTTCTTTAACTATCAGATCAGGTGTCAAATTTAATGCAGCCTGAAAATGAGAGTTTCTGTGTGAAGGAGCTACACGTTTTAGATGTATTATTGTAAATAAGTTAGGATGTTAACAAGATAAGATTTGATACATATGTATTCAGGTTCATATCAAGATAGAAACGAAAAATGACAAATTGGCGAGGTATGGAATGAAATATACTGACAACAGTAGAAAATAATGGAAGAAAGAATGCCTGTGTCACCTTGAAGGATTTCAAGATATCCCACCTAAGGTCTCTGACCACAGGTTTGGATTGTGTCACTGACCCATACTAGGAAGTTTGCGTTTTTGAAATCAAAAGTCATTTATGTGTCCTAACCTATTTTAAACTGAATATTGTACTCACTAGTAATGGATGCCAATGTACTTGGTAGTTAGATACATTGAATATACGCCTCAGTTATCATATGTGGCAAAGGTTCATTAGTTTATTTACTTTCTTTACTCATTAATTTACGCTTAAAATTGCCTCTTAACATTTTGCGACTGAAGTATTCATTCAAAATGCAACGGTGTTCATAGTCAGACACTAGTAATCTACTCATGATTTCTCTCCTCAGAAATCATACTTCAAAATCATACTTTTCCTATGACATATAGATGGGAACATCGGCTGAATGAAAGGTGGCGTAAGATAAAAAACCTAGGCTAACATCTTATACCTATTCTGAACTCCCGTCGGCCACCAACTCACTAAAGCTTATAAGAATCCTAAGAAAAGATGAAATGGATAAAGTACTTACAGCGACGAGTTCTGAAACAGCTTGATATGATGAGGTTAAATGTATAATAAACATTTTGTATTGATATTCAAAGCGTTCAGAGGATAAAATTATTTCAGCTTTATCAGCAGATAGGACTAGGTCATTTATTTACTTTGGGTGAATGAGAGTTTTCGGATAATAAACTTTGTCCTCAAAAGCAGGAGAAATCAAATATGGTCTTGATAAGTCTATTTTTGATAAAACTGTATAGAAAAGAGGAAACTAAGAAAACTTGGTTTATGCCAAGAGATAAAATAAATTCGGTTAACAGCCATAAACTGTGATTTAACATAAATTTTTAAGTAGATGACTTTCAGACAAATGGCATACTTCTTTCTGGAAAATGAAGCTGTATCACAATATTGAAGTTACATGTGAAGTTACATCGATATGCATACCGCAATACAACTTAAGTGAAAGTTTAGAAGATTGATTAAGTGATGACATTGTACAAGATAACCAATTCTGTTACTAGTGTTATTGTTTTCAAGAAAATCTTGTACTTTATTATGGAAATATAAAGTATTTACATATATTAGCTTAAATCAAGTTTTCTCTCGTCTTAATGCTAATCTATTATTTACTTTAATCTTATTGTTAATTATATTTCATCTAAATTAAGCTTAATTCCATAAACCTAGTATATTGTCTTATTATGTATTCTGTATAGAAATATGTTCACTCATTTGTATAATCACGTAGTTTAACATTCTCGTCAGAAGGTCATACAAACTTAAAGCCAGACAAAAAATAAATGAAAAAAAAAATGGAATCTCTATTAAATAAGTAGAATAGTGTGCAATTAAGTTATTGTGGTACAAAAATAAATATAATGATATTATTTTAGTATAGAAAGTTGTAATTACTGTAAAATATTTCGTATCATTACATCTTGGACTTTGATTTGACAACTATTAAAAACTAGAAAAGATTAGAGAATCGTTATCTTGTCCGAGCATGAGATATCCTTGCAATGAACACCCATGATTCTACTATAGAATAAAACTAGGGTCTATATGTCACGTAGCGAAAAAAAATTCTTAGTGAATCAATGATACATAATCAGTATCAGTACTAATATTTGATCTGTTAATTTCAAATAAATTGAGGATTGGGTAGATTAACAATAATAAAAATAATTATTAATATTTGTAATATCTCAAAGAGTAATGCACAGTTGTAAAATCAAAGTATTTCTTCTTTTGTGAAGTGAGAAATATTTGTGGACTAATCAATAGATTAATAATTTTTTTTTAACCGTACGTTAATAATCTAATGTAATCTTAGGTTAGACATAATATTGGTTTCATACTAGAGATTAGCTGTCTTATTCATACACTGTCTAATTAGTATAAAATTTAATGATAGAATGAATAGTTCTGTCCTAATACATTTTCATATTTTATCAAAAAATATTAATTTAGATATGAAGCAGGTAGAACTATGATAACATAGACAACTTCAACTGGTACTTATTCACAAGTTGAAATCATGAGTCAGTTGAAGCTAGACCACCATTGAAAACCTGGAAGCACTGGACGGCCGTTTCGTCCTAGTATGGGACTCCTCAGCAGTGCGCATCCACGACCCCGCACCACCCGGGGCTCGAACCCAGGACCTACTGGACCTACTTATTCATCTCAGAAATGTTTTTTTCTGTTGTTTTAGTCTAGTGACCTGGATCTTTACTTAGATCAAATGGCTATTTGAGCTACACTTGTTTGTAGAATAAATACAATTTCCTGATGAATACGAAAGTAGATGAAAAAAGAAATATACGATAATTGTTCAATTTATTTAGAAAGAATATCTGAAGTTTAAGTGAGAAGTCATAGTCAGTGGCACCAAACCATGTCGAAGTTTTACAGTTTTTCCTTTCAGCTGATGTCAGTCAGTGTGTAATAACTAACTTAAAAAGTTTTAATGTAATTAACCGGTAGTTACAAATAATATACAAAAATTATGCTGTACTGTTATGCCCTGATAAGAATAATGAGTGGTAGTTTTGGGATCCATTTGTGGACCAATACTATACATATATTTTTATCGTATACTTGTTAATTAACTAAACTATTCATATTCATGTCTCTCTTATCATAATCTTTATTTTAACCTATAAACTGTTATTATACGATTTTGCATTTTTGAATTATTCCCTGTCTATTAATCACTACCTCCCAAATTCACAGCCACATTTGGTCAAATATTGTACAAATGTTATTTTCTATTTTATGGTACGTTGTGGTCTGTTTGATTGGTATATAAACTCAGTATGTTTGAAATATAATGATTCATATTGCAGAGGCTCGGATTGATGTTATAGACTTAACTGGCTAGGTTAGGCAGAAATCGGAACCAATAAGGACTCTAGACTGGTCATATGGGTTCACGCGTCATTGATCCGATCGACAAGTCACTGCTAACTAATTGGCGGTCACATAATAGTAACACGGATATTGTTTGGAAATTATCAGATAGAAGCTACTAAATTGATTTAAGTTGAAATATTCAGCTACCAATTACGAAAATATTATCAATATGCAGATGTATACGAAAAAGAATCTCTATCAACAGAGGTTAATCACTCTAAAATGAAAAAAAACAACTCTCAATATATACCATTCCTAAGGACATTATATTTGATAACCCTGTGAATGTTGGTAAATTAGGTGGAGTAAATCAGGCTTTGAGAGTAATTTTTAAAATTAAATCTCAAGGTTGTATTGTTAACTCCTTCCATAAATCAAGAAGATCAGAAATCGTATTTCAATAGATTTAACTGTCATCAAACTTATAACATTATTTAGAATAGGAATAAGTTAGTAAGAAGATTAGAGAAAAACGTGCTATATTATAACAGAATCATAAGAACAAGTTTAATAACATTCGTAATTGTGTAAACAATTAACTTGAACACTTTAAATGTTGAAATACACTACGAAATGTGATTCAGAAGTGATACAATTAAATTTACGATATCATTCATTTACATTCAGCTAGATTCTAAACATTGTGTGTTATATCTATCAGCATTTTATTCATTAAATGTTTCAATCCTGTTGTGTTTAGAAGTCATTTTTATTCCTTAAATATTTCGTTTTTAGACGTTAAGAACCTAAGATCGTTTATAAGCTTTCCTGTCTATCAAACAATCATAGGAATTCAAGGTTCAAGAATAAGCTTCTTCATGTCTATCAACCTATATATAGTTAATGTCAGGAATTACGTAAGTATAAATATGAGGCCCACGACAGAGTGGGTTGGAGAATGCTGGTCTGCGGTCTATGCTTCATTCGAAGTAACAGACGTAAGTAAGGAAGTAAATTACAAATAATTTGCTCATGAAAAGGTATCCATTTATCAACTGAAAATTGAAATGACTATAAAAAGTCAACAAAATTATTTCTCATTTGTACACACAACGTTTCACATAATAAATTAATAAACAGATTCGCTCACGTATTTGTAATGGATTTTAAAGATTTCATTACGCAAACTCTTCATCAAAAACGTCAACAGATAAGACATAACATTACATTGGTTATATAAAACATTACAACTGATAATGAAGCAGAAAGATTTCATCAGACATATTCAAGCAATATCGATAAGAAAACAGTCAACAGAACGTGATAACATGGTAGATTATCGATGTTATTTCATTTGATGTTGAATGACTAAAAGGTAATGTCACTAGTGATATCTTTACAAGTAATAAATGAGAATGTTCAATTTCCCTATATAAATAAATAAATTCAATAGAATACTATGGAAAATAATAATATTTATATTCAAGTAACATAATTATTTGATAATTCTGTATATCCATTGAATAGTGTTAATTAAAGTTAAATTATTTTCTATTTTCAATAGGCTTGGTTTCATTACGTGTCAATGAATTTGTAGAAAATAATTGAGTTAATGAGTCAAGAGGAGTGTTGTTTACGTCGTTGAACTCTCATGACATTTGTCACATGTTATGAGTATCATATGGAAATAACTATACAATTTGTTATAATATAATAATGTTTTCTTTGTTGTATTTCACGTAGAGTTTGTGTTGAT